AGGAATCATGGAGGAATCCACCACTGAGCCTCTTTCTGATGATGTACTTGAGTCAATCGGAGGATTGACACCAATCTGAATCCCTCCACAGATCGGAGGGCCGGAAAATCATGTGAACTTCTTAATCACCCCCCATATACTTAATGGCTCTAACTTTCTCCAAGGGTCCCGATCTGTTTCATTGTTCGTCAAAAGACACAGGAAATTAAATTATCTTACAGGTATGATTCGTGAACCTCTGAAGATTGACCCAACATATGCAGCATGAGAAGTGGAGAATTTCATGATCATGCAGTGGCTAATCAATTCGATAGAGACTGTGATTGGATGCTTGTATATGTTTTTACCTTCTGCCAGTGCCATATGGAGTGCAACTCGGGATATCTATTTAGATGGTGGAAACTCCGACCAACTTTATGAGGTGTCAAAGAAGATCCGCGAGGTAAAACAAGGATCGATAACTGTGACCTAGTACTACAATGATTTGGTATCCTTATGAACGAAACACGATCTCTACTATGATTACACGGGGGAATCTCAGACAGATCTTTCCTCTTCAGAAAATTGTAGAAAAATACCACTTGTTCCAATTTATAGCAGGTCTTAACAATAACCTTGATGAATTCCGAGGTTGTATACTTGGTCGGGATCCACTTCATTTTGCTCGTGCTGCTTTCACAAAAATTCAACACGGAGAGAGCTGAAGAATTGTTATGCTCGACACTTTTACTTCAGTCGAATTATCTGCCATGGCCACTAATAGTATTCAACACTCTCAAACCCTCCTCGAGCTACTGGGTCCACTTATGATTACTCTCACAAATCCAACCATACTAGAGAAAAGTGTTGGAAACATGGGAAACCGACGTACTAATTTTCAACCAAATCCTCCTCTGCCAAGGGTATCATCCCTATGACACTCACTTCTTTCTCTAGTTCATGGATCATCGACTCATGTGTCATAAACCACATGCTGGATGCTCTAAAACTTTCTCGACATATTATTCATGCTATGGGAAATATACAATTAAAATAGTTGATGACTCTTTTAACTCTATTGCTGGTAAATTGCCGGTTGTGTTAACAATTGGTCTAACTTTGGAATCTGTGTTACATGTCCCTCTGCTGAAGTGTATTCTATTATCTGTTAGTAAACTGACACATTACATGGATTGTGCTGTTAATTTTTCTCATGATATTTGTGTTTTCTAACATCGTCGTTCGGGCAGGATAATTGGAGTAGCTAAAATATTAGTTGGGTTCTACTTCTTTCAAGAGAAAGAAATGGAGAAGGAAGACACTTCTCTCAGCAGTTGTAGTTTTTCTCAATCCACTGCATGTCCTATTATGTTGTTGCATTATCGTTTGTGTCGTCTCAGTTTTCAATATATAAAACGGTTGTATTTGTCTATGTTTACTAATAAAAAACTTGCTAATTTCAAATGTGAGATTTGTCAATTAACTATATATCATCGTGTTCCTGATCCATCCCTTCCTTACACGTATTTAGTTCCCTTTTCTCTTACTCACAATGATTTGTGAGGACTATCACACTACCAGCTAAATTAATAAACGATCGTTCTTATCTTAATTGATGACCACTCTCGAATGACACGAGTCTATATCTTAAAAGCTAAATCTGAAGCTGCCGTAACTTTCAAAAACTTTCACTCCTTTATTTTAACCCAATTCAAAACTTCTATTCAAGTCCTTCAAACTAACAATGACCATGTATTTTAACTCTGTTTTAAGTGAGTTCTTGGTAAGTAGGGCCTCTATCATAGCTCATGTACAGACACTCTTCAACAAAATCGAGTAGTTGAGAGAAAAATTTGACATCTTCTCGAAGTGGCTTGCTCCATTATACTTTAATCTAGTGTCTAAAAAAGGTTTTGTAATGATGTCGTGTTTACTGTCACCTATCTCATGAATCGAATTCCCACAAAAATTCATAACTTCAGAACTTTATTAGCCATCTTGATGTCATGTTTCCCGAACTCTTGTACCCAAGTTTTTTGGATGCACAACCTTTGTTCAGAGCACTATCCCTAATCAAAGTAAGCTTGATCCCAATTCTATAAAATGTTTCTTCCTCTGATATTATGCCACTCAAATTATTGATGTTTAATCTTGTCACAGATAAATTTTATGTAAGTGCCGATGTCTTTTTCTTTGAAAGTGTTCCCTACTTCCCTGTCACTATCTCAAGTCAGAGGGAGCTTGATTTATTGTACACTATTTCGTATTCAACCCCTGTGGATATGTCTCCAATCACTATATCCGAAGAGGTCTCTGTCCCTCTGGATCCGCCACCTACCAAACAACCAGAACCTCCTCTTATTCTTCGTGTCTATACTTAGCACACTCATGTTTCCACTCTAGAGCTCGTTATCTTTTTATAGGACCTGGAATCCACTCTGAGTGACATACCTATAATTGACAACACTTCGAATGAGGAAGTGAGTTCTCCTAATGAGGTATGTAATCAGACAAGCTCTTTTTATTCCATGGAAAAAAATATTTTTTTTTTCAAAGTGTGTCGCCAACCTACAAAAAATATATCTTTGCTCAGACGAATCATCACCTCCCATCCGCTATCGAAGCAAGATTAATTGACCATTCCTGGAAAGCTGCAGTAATAGATGAAATGAATGTCCTTCAATGGAATCATATATGAGATGTTGTGGATCTTCTTCCAGGTAAGAAAACAGTAGGGTACCGTTAAATTTTTAATACCAAGTTTAACTCCGATGAATCCTTTGAACGCAACAAGGTACGATTAGTTGTCAAATGCCACTCACAAACACATGAAGTTGATTATGACGAGAAATTTGCTCTGGTTGCTAAATTAAACACCATTCAAATCTTACTTTTTCTTGCTGCGAGGTTGGACAATGCTCCAACTGAATGTCAAAAATATTTTTCTAAATGAGGATCTCACAAAGGAGGTGTATATGTGTCTCCCTCCAGGTTTTGACTCTACTATTTCCTGGTGACAAGTGTGCCGACTACTTCAGTCTCTCTACTGATTGAAGCAATCTCCAAGGGCCTGGTTCGACAAGTTCACAAAAGTGATAATGGGTCATCATTTTACTGGTGCTTAATCAGACAATACTCTCTTCTTTTGACATTTCTTCACTGGCAAAATTGCAATCCTTATCATCTATGTCGACAATATTGTGCTCACATGTGATGATCTACCACCATTGGAGTCTTTAAAAGATGCTATTGTTACTTCATTTGAAATAAAGGACTAACGATTGCTCTGGTACATCTTAAGCATGGAAATTTATCGGTCATCTCAAAGCATTTGTCTGTCTCAACGTAAATATGTGTTTGATCAATTGACAGAGAATAACCTACACTTATGCAAACTAGTGACAACTCTAATGGATCCCAATGAGAAATTAGTTGATGATCCAAATATGGTTCCAGTGAATAAGACTTGCTACCAACTTCTTGTGAGGAAACTCATTTACATTGCCCATACTCACCCTCACATTTGCCATGCAATATGTATTGTAAGTCAATTCATGCATGATCCCTATGAACACTATCTCAGAGTTGTCCACAGGATCCTCCGTTACTAAAAAGAAAACCGAGCTTATGTTTTTTTTTTTGGCGTCACACCTCTACCATTGTTGTGAGCTTATGTTTTTTTTTTTGCGTCACACCTCTACCATTGTTGTTTATACGAATGCAGATTGGGACTGGTTCATCTATAATTGACAATCAATCTCAGGATATTGCTCATTTGTGTGGGGAAATCTTGTCATGCAAAAAAGCAAAAAACAGTCTGTTGTGGCCCGGAGCAGTGCGAAGCCAAGTTTCGCTCCATGCCCTTGGGTATCTATGAAGCTCTTTGGAGGAAATGTTCGAAGTACTTTAGAGAGAGCACTAAGAATGTTTTTTTTTTCCAGTGACATGACCACTATTAATATATTGATGACGTGAGTTTTTGAATAGTTAAATGCACCCAATTCAATTTCAATATATTTTTTTTTACAACACATTGATTAGCTATGCTACTTGATCAAGAGTTATGGATCAAGCATCACTGCCTTGAATGATTTGTTTGATCATTATTATGGAGTAACAATCTTTACGGACATCAAGTTAAAGAGGAAAGCTCCTTCAAATGGCTTAAAACAGTTTAATGTCATTGGAGAAGAGGAAAAGTTTATGGAATCTTAGGCTAATGCATGATTCATATATTTTTCTAAAATAAAGTAAAATTTTAGTTAGCTTTAATATAAAATAGCAAACACATTTTTTCATTCCAAATAATAATTTAATAATTAAAATCTGAATCTTCAAAAGAAAAAATTGTGAACAAATTTGAAATCCCAATAATGATCAAGTTTCGTGCTGTGAAATGGAATATGAAATGTTTTACACTCGACAAAACTTGAATGAAACACACCAATCATAAAAAAAAATTAATTGAAAAATAAGTATTAAGAATCACCAAATAAAAGATTCATTACCTTTTAGACACTTTCCCCAGAAGTAGTCATCAAAGCCTACAATGTGCTCTAAAAATAAACAACCAAAATCACATAAGAATTGAGGATAGCCAAAATAATAAACTTTTCAGAATCCTCTTTGATCTTGTAAAGGTTTGCAAGTGCCTCCTCCGAGCACACAAATGATAGTAATCATCTGTGCTTTCACTATTTCCACGTAATTCATCCATAAGTGAAAATTGTAGAGGTAAAAAAGGCAGCGTTCGAGTACAGCTACGATTAAAGGAGGCCATTTGGGACTGTAGACAGTAGCAGTCAGCAATGAATTAAAAGGATTCAGTCAGCTATCCAGATTCTGCAGCACTTAGCTGGACCATACTAGCAGTCAACATGCAGAAATTTTGCATTAGAGGCTATATCAAGTTACGGCTAAAGAATTCAACCATGCTAAGCTTTTCAGAAAAAAAAATGTTATTCGGTTTGAACCCTTTTTAACATGTTTCTTTTTCCGTTCTTGTTTGTTTATGGGAGCAGTGTCAAACCAATCTCACATTAAAAAAGCAGCAGCGATAATGGTGCCCATCGTGGTCAGTTTCTCCGTTGCTGCGCTTCTAATTGGTTGTCTTCTATTACGCTGCTGGAGAAAGAGAAGATGTATGATCACATATTTTCATCTTTCAATCATATATTCTTGATCAATGTTTTTCTTCGTTTCTTTTTTAAAGAAAATCTATTTTCTGCAGTTCATACCTCTAATTGTTTGTAAATGTGATTATACCATGTAGCTTTGGACTCCTCTGGAGAAGAGACCAAGGAAAGTACTGCAACTAATACGGACATGGAACTTCCTTTGTTTGATTTTGAAACAGTTGCTGATGCAACAAATAATTTCTCTGAAGATAATAAACTTGGAGAGGGTGGATTTGGTTCTGTTTACATGGTAAGTTTCATTTCCAGTGGTGTTTTAAGCATGCTGATCTGTCATGCAATGTCACACCTGAAATGAATCATAAATTTGCTTCTAAAATATAGGTCGTGAGAAACTTCTGCAAGATTCGGTGTGAGTGACTTGGTGGTTGTCACTAGTTATCAATTTCTCTCCCCTTCATCGTTCCTATATCTAATTACACTACAAATCTTATTTGTGACGCCTGTCAATACCCTAAACGAGAGGTGTACAGAATGAGATAAGAATTGATTAACTTCAGCTGGAGGTACAGACCCCATTAGAGAAAGGTTGAAATGTTAAACCAAAATAATAGAATGCTTACGTAAGGCATGGTTAAGATTCAATGAACAAAGGTAGGGCTTAACTAAGCAGTTAGAGCATGTCTAAAAGAAGCTATCTATCACTAGTTATTTAACAAAAAGGAGAAACCTGATAATATTTCATGGCTCTATTATTGATTGTTTTGGTAGTAGGTAGGGCAAAGAGTATAATATATGTTAGGCATTGGCTTGAGAACTTTGATTTGATCTTAGCTATGTTGCGTACTTTTCTAATTCTGCACTTTCAATCTTACCCTGTAAGAGATCATCAATGTGGATCACATCATCTCGTCTATTTAAGGTGGTAAGATAGAGAGTCAGCACGTGAGATGTTCATAAAAGTTTAAAAGATTGGAAGACCACTCACTATTTTTGGAGGTTACTTCATGAATATGTAGAGAAAGAGGTCACATAAAGAAAGCGGAGGCTAGAGTAATTCATTTGTATAGCCTACTTCCACTTTGGGGCCTACTAAGAAGTTTATTGGATGTTTTAGGATTCCAGAGAGAGAATTTTTCTAAATTAAACTCATCCTGATAGGAAAACAGAGCGAAGAGAAATTGTATCTGGGATAAGTATATTGCAAATGAGTACTTCTGAAATAAAAAAGACATGCTCAAAATAGAAGTGAGAGTGGGACTAAAGGCTTTGGACAATAATGATGATTGGCTGTTGATAATCGGTGCACTTCTGGTTGAGCCATCTCCTCTTGTTTCCTTAGTATGCCTGTGTCTTAAGGGGCAAAAAGTGTCTCCTTTCTTATGTGTTGATATTTTTAAGTGTTTGCATATCTTGCCATTATCTCCAATTATGGTGTTTTTTTCGGAGTTTGAGGCAATTTCGGACAATTCTTGTAATTACAATGGTCTTGCAATGTTTACAATCTGTTGGTGGCTGCTTTGCAAATTTTGTTTGGTTGATTGGCTACACATTAGTACATGAGATAATATTGGCCAAATGAATGCAAAAACACGCATATGCAATTCCGCATCTTCTATATAGCTTTAATGATTGTTAGAACGCATGGGACTGATTTAATATGTTGGTTTGAGGCATTTTTCTCGAATAATGGCATGGTGATTTAGTCAAGGATGAGAACGGGTCATCTAAGCCAAGGATGCTCATGAGAACCTTCTTAAGGACACTCTCAAGGACTCTTCAAGTTAGTTTGGAGAAGATGAATTTTAGGATTAAATGTCTAGCATCCTACTACCAATAGGGACTGAGATTGAGTTCTAAGCATTTTCTAGAAAAATAGCATGGCGATTAAGTAATGAAAGAGAATTAGTTATTTTATCCATGGTTGCTCCCAATGACCTTCCGAAGGACATAGTCTCAAAAAGGCTCCCAAGGACCTTCCTAAGGACAATTTCGAGAATTTTTCCAAGATAGTTGGGAGAATTTTAATTTTAGGATTATATGTTTACCGTTGTACCACATGTAGAACTGAAATCGATGATTATACTTTTACAATTATTTCATAAGTCTATAGCAGGAAATGGAATATGGTATTGAAATATTAACCTTCTATAGACATCAAATGCCATCGTGTTCTATGGTCTTTCCCCTCGTCATCATGACGCACTCCATTTTAAGAAACTTCAATAAGTTGAAGATTGAGGCGCTAGCATGCACTTCATGGAGAAGAAAACTATTGAGAAGGTCCCAAAAATTTCCATTGGGCGATGAGTGGTTAAACTTTACTTGGCGACACAATGAATATGTGAGTAATGGAAAAGTCTACTGTGGTGGAAACTATTGCCCTTGTTATTTTAAATATTTTAATCCTATGACATATTTTTCATGGCAGGGACATGTGAAGAGGAAATGTTGGAGGGTTATGTTACCTTCACGTAAATGTTAAATGAGAATAGAGGTGGACTTATTCTCGAAACAAGTAGAATTGCTTCCTCATAGCACTAAGCATCTGATTTATAACTATTGAGATCATTACAGTGGTGCCTAATGAGATACAATCTTCCCTGTATGAGGATTTGATGGGTGCCTCTCCTTAATTTTGAAGACAATGCCCTAGATGTCAGAGTTGACATCATTATAGACTGAGAAGATTCAAAACCTAAAGTTTTTCATGGAGGGGATAAATAGATGTGACAAGTGGGATTTGAGAGGCTTTGAGACCCTCCCGTGGGTTATTAAAGCATTTTTTTGCTCCAAACTCTAATGCGAGGGCTATTGAGCTTGAGGGAGATTTTAGGACTTTTTGAGGTGATATGTCATTCTCATGCGAGATGATGATGACTTGTCAAGTTATGGTCGATAAAGTTAGAAGAGAGACCTTTTTAGACTCTCGATAGAGTGAATGACGAATGTTGTAGCTATTTACTTATACATTTTAATGTATGTTTTATATAGTATGATTGAATGCGATGAATACATATGTTTATGTTGACTGCTTGTATATGAATGACTGACAATGATGGAGTGCCCCTTGATGGTACTAGTGAGGGAATACTAATATATTCGTGCACGTAAATTAAAAAAGTTATTGATATTGAATTATTTTAAGTTGTACAAATTTTAGACGGTGCCTCATACGACAGTTGTATAGATATGAAATGTTATTGATATGATAATAATATGGACCCTTTTAAATAACATGTCAAATAATTATATTGATTTATAAAGAATTTTAACTGACATGCGTATTACTTTTTTTTGTTTTATATTGTTGTAGTTTAGAAATATGAGTATTCACTGCTCGTTTAGCTTACAGTTATTTTAACTTATTTTTTCATATTTAATTAAATTATTAAAAGATTAGCGATAGAGGAGAAAATATTAATGGGAACAACCAGTAACGAGGTAGTTTTAAGTTGTGCCGCTTTAATTTAATTTGTAATAGATCTTTCATCTGTTAAATTGTAGAGGAATGTAGAAAATTTAATTCAGATGGTCCAACCTTTCATTCTCGCCTTGGTTAATTTCAAGCCTCGGGTCAGGTAGTGACAACGACAAATCTTTATCATGTCTAGTCTCGAGCATTTGAATTGAAATGCCCTTATTGTTGCAATAATCTTGGCAATCATTTCAAATACCTTGAATGACAACAAGAGTTGGGTAATGAGGTATGATACATCAGGACAAATAGAGATTTCAATGATGGTTAAGCCATCCCCTAACTTGTAGAAGTGATCTAGGTGTTGATAGTAGTTCCTTGAGGAATCAATTTGTTTATCGTTAGGAATAAATATTAATAATGGTTAATATATTTATGTAAAAGCATATATAATATTTATTTTGATAAAAATCAAAGAACCTCTTGTTTTAAAAGTGGTTGACCATATTTAATATTTCTTGTAAAAAAATAATTTGATATAAAAAATTATGAGCCTTACTAAAGTATTATGGGAATAGATAAAGTGGGTTGTTAACTGATTGAGTTTGTGTCAAGTTGAGACAAATTTCTATGAGCATTGGCTCTGTCTGATAGAAAATATCCCAGGAGAGCATCATGATTCTTCCTGGCATATGTCTCGAGGGCCTGTAGTGTGGTTCCTAACATGAAGTGCGATGTGATTAAAGTAATGATACTTCAAAATTTTAAAATGAAAAATTTCCTTAAATCAATACTTAGCTTCTTCTATTAAGATTAGACAATTGTAGTGTTTTAAGATACTTTAAACTAGGGTGACTAGTAATAACCTTGATTCCTTTACACTTTCATTTTCTTACAGATCTTTCCTTGGGTATCTTTGTTACATGTGATTTCACACCTCTTGTGACCATGACCATCAAGCCAGGTTCTATTGAAGCCACCAAAATCATGGAGGTTTTCAAAGCGATTGATGGCATTGTTGTTTATCGAGGACTTCTCCATTTATGTCATTTCCGTTAGATACAACATCAAAATTTGAACAAGGGGAATGAATTGAACTCGAATTATTATTTAAAGGGGACACCTGTTTTGTTAGTACTTTAAGATCGGCTCAGCCTTTTTCAACTAGGCTGTTAGTGATACATTGCTAACTCATGGGAACAAGAATTTTGTTTATGGTTCAACAATCTTCTTAAAAAAATCTCAACAAACCAAGCTAACGTAAATCCAATTGAATTTGTTTAAAGCTAGAGAAAATTGTTGGTTTTTTTATAAATGATTTAATAGAGCCAATTGATTCATTTTAATTTGCAATGGTGATGAAAAAAATCAAACTATCATTCTCTTATATATATATATATATATGAGA